AACTTGCATATGAGTAATTGGTGGTCTGTTCCACAATCAGCCCCCGGCCTAGTTTTCACAGCTGATATTGAGCTTCTCCAGCGGTTCCTTCCGCAGATGTAGTCGATTAGTGTTAGATGTATTAAATTAGTGAATTAAAAAGTAGGAAATTGTTAGGCTTGAGTTTTAGGGTTTTTTTAGAAGGACAGTGGTTTATGGAGCTCTGCTGGCCTAGTGGCAAGAAGCTGCACTGCAGTGTCACAGGTGTGGGTTCAAATCCACCACATGCTCTACTGGAGGAGGGACAATCTTCTCCTGTACCAGTCAGATCAGCTTTGACAGTGCATACATGAAAAAACAATAAAATAAAAGTTTGGTGTTTTTTTTTTAAAGGATAGTGGTTTAATACTTAACTACTTTAATAGCCTCTAAATATGTGAAAGTTCCTATTACTAGAGCCATCCTCTTAGTTATCCAGTGGATGGCTCTAGTAATAGGAACTTTCACATATTTAGAGGCTATAAGTCAGAGTTAAGGATTATAGTTCAAAGGAAAGGCATTTTGTGTTAGCCCTAGGGGAAGGTTTTTGTGATCAATCTTTCCTTGGATTTAGGAGTTTCTGAGTGAAAAGTTCCTCATCCAAAGATATATTCTCCTCTTGAGTCTTCTCTGTTCATGGTTATTGTTTTAGATGTCCTCATGTTGAGAACAATTCATAGTGACTCTATGAACAAAAGATATAAACCCTGTTCTATCCTGTGCCATCCTCTCACTTCTTGACACACTAAAGCCCATTGCGGCAGTCACTGCATCAATTCACCTAGTTGAGGGTCTTCCTCTTTTGCCAACCCTCTAATATTCCTAATATAATATCCTTCTCAAAGGAATAGCACTTCCTATCAATAAGCCCAAAATATGTGAGACAAAGCCTCATCATACTTCCTTCCAAAGAGCACTTGGCTGCACCCTCACCAAAACATATTTGTTTGTTCTTTTGGCCATTCAGAGGATGCACAGTGCTCTTCTCCAACATCACAGTTCAAAGGTATCAATTATTTTTCTGTCATCTTTATTTATTTTCCAGCTATCAGATGCATAGCAAGTGATTAGAAAGACTATGGCCTAAATCAGATACACCTTAGTTCTCAAACTGACATCATTACTCCTCAGTAACTTAGACAGGTCCTTAACTGCAGATTTTCCCAGTGCAGTGTGTCTTCTTATTTCCTGACTGCTGCTTCCAAGGGTGTTAATTGTGGACCTGAGAAAGATGAAGCTGTTGATAGTTTCAGTCTCTTCTCCACCCATCGTGATGCTGCCTACCAGTCCAGTGGTAAGAATTTTATTTTCTTGATATTAGATGCAATCCATATCGAAGACTGCATCGCTACATCTTCTGCAACAAGTGCTTCAAGTCCTCCTCACTTTCACCAAGCAAGACTGTGTCATCTGCATAATTCAGGTTCTTGATGAGTCTCCCTCCAATCCTGATGCCACATTCTTCTTCAAAGAGTCCAGCCTTTCAGATAATTTGCTCAGCATACAGATTGAATAGGTATGGAGAGGGAGTACAACCCTGCTGTGCTCCCTTCTTAATTTTAAACCATGAAGTGCTCCCCTACTCTGTTTGCAAAACAGCCTTATGGTCCAAATGTAGGTTCCACATGAGCACAATTGACTGCTCTGGAACCCCCATTCTTCTCAATGTTAGCCACAGTGTATTATGACTCACACAGTCAAATGACTTTGCATAGTCAATAAAACACAAATAGATAAATAGATAAAACATATCTTTTCATGGTTGGTGGTATAAATATAAAAGGTCCTAAATAAAACAGCAACTAATAAATCCAGTAATTATCATTAATGTGATTTGAGTGAAAGTTTTCAAAGCTAATATTTTCTTTCTTCAATCACAAACACATTATATTTTTAACATTAATTAAAATACCATTAAAATGAAAATAAATTACACTGTAACTTCTTCAATAAAATTGTTGTTAGCAAACCTTTTCAAAATAGACCTGAACCTTGTCCTATCTTGTGCTGTTCTCATCATCTTTGACACATTTGTTCTGCAGCCACTGTGTCAATACATCTTATTTATTGAGTGTCTTCCTCTCTTTTCCTGAGTTTCTATGTTTCCCAGCCTGATGCCCATTTCCAAGTTACCTCTCCTAGCAACAAGGTCAAAGTATGAGAAATGAAACTTCATAATACTTACCTCCAAGGATCACTCTGGCTGCACTTTCTTCAAGATATTTGTGTTTGTTCTTTCTGCAATCTATGAGAATGCAGTACTCTTCTCCAACATTAAAACTCAAAGACATCAGTTCCTCTTCTTTCATGCTTATTCACTGTCCAGCTCTCAGATGCATAGCACTTGATTGAAAAGAAAACATGGCCTGAATCAGGAGCACCTTAGTCCTTACCCTGACATTATTGATCTTAATTATTTTAAGGAGGACCCTAACAGGACACTTGTATAACACAGTATGTCTCCTGATCTCCTGATTGCAGGTACGCAGGGTTTTGATTGTGTTGCCTGTTTTCCAGTGGTGCAGACCTTTGTTTTCTTGATATTGAGATGTAATCCATACTAATAACTGTAATAGTTGATCTTCTATAGCAAGTGTTTCAAGTCCTCCTCACTTGGAGCAAGCAAGCGTGAGTCACCTGCATAATATAGGTTATTGATGAGTCTTCCTCTGATCCTGATGCCGTGTTGTTCTTTATAGAGTCCAGCTTCATGTATTATTTGCTCAGAATACAGATTGAACAGGTATAAAGAAAAGATGCATTCTTGACACACACCCATCCTGATTTTAAACCATACAATGTTCTCTTGCTTCATTTGGACAGAAATTTCTTGATCTAGATATTGGTTTTACATGAGTACAATTAAGTGTTCTGGAATTCCTATTCTTCTCAATGTTAGCCATAATTTGTTATTATCCATACAGTCAGTTGCCTAGTCAATAAAATACAAATAGACATTCTTCTGATAGTCTCTGTTTTCAGCCAGAATCCATCTGACATCCCTAGTGCTACCATCTCTTCAAACTCAGTTTAAACTTCTAGTAGTTCCTTGTCAATGTACTATTCTAGCCAATTTTGGATGTTATTCAGCCTTATTTTGCTGGCATATTAATAATACTTTTTTGTAATTTCCACATTCTTTTGCATCACTCTTCTTGGGAATGTGAGCAAATATGAATCTCTTCTATCTAGCTGACCAAGCAGTTGTACTCCAAATTTCCTAGCATAGACTGATGAGCATATTGGGGACTGTATCATGTCACTTGATATCCCAATGATTTCTGTGGTCTTATTTTTTTCCAGTGTGAAAAGTAATTGTAATATAATTATAAACTATAAAAAACTAAATGACTTAAAATAGATTACAATGTAATTGCATTTCTCCCATTTCTTCCCTTTAATTCTTATCTATCTATCTATCAATCTATCGATGTATCTATCTATCTATCATCTATCTATCTAACTATCTATCTATCTTACTTACTGTCTGGGTGGAAGGAGTCCTACCTGGGCATGTTAAGTGTGAAACTGCCAATAGGCACCAAGTAGAGCTATCAAGAAGACTATAGATAACTTAGGACTCAGATGGAGAAAGGATAAGCAGTCTTCCTGGAAGCAGATGATGATTAAGTTGATTAATAAGATATCGGGACCTATTTCAATCCATAATCTTTTCAGACACTTGCTCTGCATCTGAGAGCTGAGCACTGAGTTAGGATGACAGAAGAACAGGTGCCTTAGAGCTGTAGTGTTGGAGAAGAGTACTGAACATCTCATAGTCTGTCAAAAGAACAAAGAGATTAATCATGTGGGTCACACAATTTGATGGGGGGTGTTAGGGAAATGGGAAGGAACTGATATGAAAAGCAACATATTCAAATTTTGTATATAAACTTGTATAAAATTATAATCATCATCATCATAATAAAGAACGAAGAGGCATGTCATGGAGAAAGTGTGGCCAGTGTGCTCGTTGGAAGCAAAGGTGAAAAACGTTGAGCATGTTGCTAGGAGTAGCTTTCTTTGGAAAGGGCTATCATGGTTGGAAAGATAAAGGGTAAATGAAAGAGAGGAAGACCCTCAGATAGATTGAAGCAATAACTGCAGATATGGGTTTGAATATGTGGGAGATTATAGGGATGGCGCAGGATAGGACAGGTTTCAGAGCTGTTATGAGTCATACTCAACTCAAGAGTACCTTGACAACAACAACAACAGTCTAACAACAACAGCAGCAATCCTTGTTGTAAATGTCCCTAATGGCGTGTGTATATATATATAT